TCTGCCACCACCTGAGGAGCTGTTTCCATCAGTTCCTCCCGTGTAAACCACTGATCTTCTTTCGGATCCGTATGATGCCTGAATCTGACGCGGTACTCTCTCTTGGGTTTAGGAGGTCTTCCTCGACCCAACGGCTTCGGAACAGGCATATCCCTGTGATCCACAATGTCGTCGATGTCGACTTGTCCATCCATGGTTGGGGGCAGCATCGATCTCCTGGAAGGGAATTGATCTGTCTCAGCGAAAGGTGCAAGCTTTGAGGCATGAAAGACTGGGTGAGTGCGTAGGTGTCCAGGGACACGAATGACATATGTGGGACCATCCATCTCATCTCCCACTATATCCAGGACTTCCCAGGGACCAAAGTACTGAGGCATTAGTTTGCCAGAGATTCCGAACTCCTGTCCTAACTTACTAGCCTTGACCCAGACTCGTTCCCCTACCTGAAATGTGGACTGTCTACGATGTTGATTCTCAGAAGCAATCATTGCTTGCTGAGCTTTCTTCATATGGTCGACAGCCTCTTGCAGCAACTTCTCATACTGCACACCATAATCTAGTGTGCCTGGAGTTGCAGCGGGTCGGTTTTCAGGTAGGAGGAAGTCTAGTGCTGATCTAGGCTTCCATCCCAAGTGCAGCTGATTAGGACTAACGCCGGTACTGCTATGGATAGCATTGTTGTACAGGCTGGCGATGAGATGCAACTGCTCATCCCAATCATCTTGGCTGGGCTTGATGTAGTGCCTCAGCAAGTGCTGTACAACTCTGTTCATTTGCTCGGCTTGCCCGTTGGCTTCGGGATGATTCCCTGAAGTCATCTGAAGTTGACTGCCCATCTGTTCTGCAGTCTTCTTCCACAACTCACTTGTGAATCGGACATCTCGGTCACTAATGATTGACTTTGGTAAACCAAAGTCACACACCCAATTGTCTTTGAACAACTTGATGACATAATCAGTTCTTGCGGTCTCTGGCATAGCCACTAGTCTAGCGTACTTGGTGAATCGATCGATGATGACGAAGATGTGCCTCTTGCCACTCTTACTAGTCACCAGGGTGTCCATGAAATCCATGGAAACACTCCGTCCTGGACCAGCAGGAATAGGCAAAGGCTTCAACAACCCAAGCGGTGCTTGAGTTCGCGGCTTGTCCCGCTGACAGACCTGCCAGGTCTCTACGTACTTCTTTGCGTCATCGAACATTCCTGACCACCAAAATCGTTGTACTAAGTTAGCACTCGTCTTCTTGTAGCCAAAGTGTCCCATTGCGTCATGGCATTCTCCTAAGAACAAACTACGCAAAGGTTCACTAGATGGAACTACTAATCTTTTTATTCCGGTCTTATCAAGATAGAGGAGCCCGTCCACCATCACAAACTCGCTTTCCCTAGCCTTGTCTTTTGCCTGAAGTTTGCGAATGATGTCCATCGTGACAGGGTCTTCCTGATAGGCTCCCACCAACGATTGAGTTACTTCATCAGATACGCGAAAGTCAAAAACTAGCGCACCTAGGTAGTCTGATCTACGTGATAACGCATCAGCAACCTTATTATACTCTCCCTTCAGATACTCAAGCTTGAAGTCATATTGGTCTATGACCTCAATCCATCGCTTGAGTGCATAAGAAA